GGGAAAGAAAGAGACTGTAAAGAGCCGGGGACTCGCAAGGCTAAGTGCATCAGACAGGCAAACCCCTCGGTTTTCTGGGAAAGGAGCTAAACAGTGGCTGTAGTCTTTGGCCACTGAATTAATGACACTAGTTTCATCTTGAGTGAAGGGCAGTTCTAGAACCATAAAATGGTTTGTGTTGGGAGGGACCCTTAAAGGCCATCAAGTCCACCCCCCTGCCCTGTGCAGGGCCACCTCCCACCAGCCCAGGTTGCTCCAAGCCCCGTCCAACCTGGCCTTGAACACCTCCAGGGATGGGGCAGCCACAGCTCCTCGGGGCAACCTGCCCCAGGGGATCACCGCCCTCAAAGTGAAAAGTGAATTCCTCATATCTCATCTAAATCCACCTTCTTCCAGTTTGAAGCCATTCCCCCTCGTCCTATCAATAGTTGAGAGACTATTTCATGGACACCACTGTCAGAAGAAGGGACAGAGATAAATGCTATGGCCACAGGAGGCAAAGGTAGGGAACTCCAGGTGGCGTGCTGCATGGGAAGCAGTCAGGATGAGCATCTGCCTCTGTGCTACAGGTGCTGCTGTGTGGCCCCCAAGGCGCAAACCCTGTCAGCCACAGCTCGGTGGCACCGCTCGCACTGCCCAGCGAGACCCCACACACCGAGAAACTGCCGGGGAGAGCCGGTCATGGCCAGGAACACAATGAGCAGCACAGAGGAAAAGCCTGGCAGCCACCAACACCCAGGTGTGGACACTGAGCATCCCCCTGCGGAGCCCAGGCTGACACCTCTGCCCCGGCACACTCCAGTGCACCCGCAGAGTGGGACCAGTTCCTCCAACAGCGATGGGACGCTGGCGTTCACAAGAGCCTTGAAATCACGGCTGCCAACCAGCCAGCGCAACGGCACGAGCCACGTATCCCCACCACAAAACACAGTCACCTCCAGAATTCAATTCTGCCTCGAGTTTGTTTCTTTTTTTTTCCAGATCTTTTTTGTTTTAGCCAAGCTGGAGAGCATGGTTAAACTGAAAAGCTGCTGCTTTTGAAAACTTGTGCATATTCACACATTCACGGATTTTACAATTTTCATCATCAGTTTGAGTTTCACACAATTCCAGCATCCAGTTCATGCTTCCCAGTTTAAAGCTTTGTTTCAAAATATTTCCACTATGGATTTGCCTAGCTTCAACACTGTGCGGGTGTCTACACAGAAAACACACATACTTCATTTTATAAAACTAATAAATTAGATTTCCAGAAACTGCTTCCAAGTCTGAGCCTGTAAGCAGGTTCGTGTGCAATGTGAAGCACTCTGACATCTAAGGACTGGGCTACGTACAGAGACCGGGTTTATAAAATACCGTTATCTGCACAATAAAATCAGTGGCTGAATTCAGCCTCAATAAAAATCAAGGGGCTCGACTCCTTCCTCATCCCCAATTTATATTTTTTATAGTACTGCTCAAAGAACCTGGTCGAGTGGCAGGTGTCCCTGGCTATGGCAGGGGGTTGGAACTCGATGATCTTCCAACCTAAACCATTCTATGATCCTATGAAGTGCATAGCAAGTCTAATTTGGGTAGCGCAGGTCAGTAATGTTGTGGTGGAAAGTCTTGGAAAAAAAACATTTCTGATTCTTTTTGTGAACTCCGCACAATGTCACCCCTGATGCTGTTTAGTTTATGCCACTTTTGGACTGTGCAGCTACAAACAAACAAACACCTAGTGTTTGAGGCAGCCTCTGGCCCATCATTTTGCACCATTTTCCCCCTGGAAACGCCTGCTTACTTGAACTGGTGCTCCCTGGAGCTGCGTATCTTTGAGGAGAAGCGTTCAGCCAGTTTCTCCAGGCTCCGGGAGTACTCCAGCTCGATCTCAGCCTTCCTGCGGAAGAACTCCTGCAGGTCCTGCAGCAGCTGCAGGCGCGACTCCGACTGCTGCTCCAGACATTTGAACTGCTCGACCAGCTGAGTTCGGATTTCTGCATGCACACAAGAGAGAAGAAGAAAATGCAACGTCAGCAACAAACACCGGGCAGGAGGGCTGTCTTTCCTTGTCTTGGAGCAAATCGCACAGACCCTGCTAGAGCGGGCTCCCTCGTGAGCCTCAGGTTTAAATCAAGGCTTGCTAAAGCCAACAGATTTTTTTTCCAAGTGAGAGCTGAAGAATTTCATTCACTGGTCTCACATTAAAAGCTTGTTCTTTGTCAAAATAAACAACTGCCTGAGCACACAGAGACCAACCCTCAAAGCTTCTCAACTGCCTTTATGAAACTAGAAAATGATACTTCAATTTTTCTAGTACTACCTGAAATCCTGTATTCCTTACACATAAACTACCATACTACTTCTTGACAAATGATCATTTGCATACCGAGAGAACGGCTGACAACGTCCTGAAGGGAGCTGGCACTGTGGATGCGCACTCCTCTCACCCACGTCCCCCAGTCCTGCCGGGGTCCTGCCACATCAACCCCGTCGTTGGCTCAAAGGCTGCCCCATCCCTGGAGGTGTTCAAGGCCAGGTTGGACGGGGCTTGGAGCAACCTGGGCTGGGGGGAGGTGGCCCTGCCCAGGGCAGGGGATGGCACTGGATGAGCTTTAAGGTCCCTTCCAACCCAAACCATTTTGTGATTCTATGATACGATTCTACGATCCCACATAAGGTGACTGATTAACTTTGGAGTTTTCAGCATTCGTTATTTCTGTGGAGCTTTTGCTTTTTAGGTGACCTTCATGCAGCCTGCAGCCTCCAGTCCCATTACTGCCATCGTTAAATTCCCAGTAATGAGATTGCCGCAGGTGTCCTTGTTCTTGTAGCTCTCCAAGTTCACCTGCCAGGCTGTGAGTGGCTCAGTCTCGCATGATAGTTGTTCTATGAAGAAATGTTAAAAAATATCAGATTCTTATAATGGGACTTTTAACCTCCTCTACGCAGGATCCTCACAAATTTAAAGAGCTTGAAATCGTCCATAAATCTTCTGCGGTTTCAGTCAGTGCTTCCCGTTCAGGCAGAAGCATCCTATTCCTATGGTACCCAGCACCATGCCAGAACACAGCTGCACCCCTCACGCACAACGCTGCTTCTCCACCCCCTCTTGTTCACATGTGCACCCAAACACAGAAAATAGATTTGCTCCCATTGCAATGGCACTTTCTGCAGGGGGGGGAGGATGTTTTAATGCTACCCAGCAATATTTACCCTGGTTTTGCTACAGAGATGTGCGAGGACGCCTGGAGAAGCTGAGTGGGCTCCCAGAAAGCAGCAGTCGGTCATCGCACCTGAAAGCCGCCCCAGTCCTCGGCAGCGGCACTCCAGCATCTGCTGAAGAACAGCCCAGGCTTTACAGAAAGATGACGCATGCGCAGCTGCTCCGGCTCCATCGGGAAGACTGTGCTCTTCAGGGGCTCTGCGCTGTGCAAGAGCTGCGACGCCTCACGGCATGGACAGGGGACAACCGCCTAGGCAGTCACGGCTTCCCACAGCTCCCTCGCGCTCCACCCGAGCACGGCCAGGAGGCGAGATGTCAGGCGGGTGCTGTCACCCACCGAGCTCACCAGAAGGGCTTCCCGGGGCACGGCATCCCGCTATGATACAGTGCTGCTTCATGTGCACCCCCTTTTGAAGGCAAGCACTTTCTCCATTACACGATTTCTGCGGTAATGACGGCATTCACCGGGGCTGAGGGTGGCAAAGAGCAATCGCCTTTGAATTAAGCCTCCTAAAAACCCACTTCTATGTTCCTGCAGGACACAAAGGTACCAGTTTCATAACAAAACATTTTTAAAAGCTTCACATTCCCCTGCCAACAACAGTTTCCTTCCCACACAAGGTCAGTGGAAATTTCATTATATCCCATATGGATTTTACATTCCCACTCCTGCTGGTGCCAACACAGGACCTGCTTTACAGCCCTCTGCTTTCCTGAGCAAGTTTGATCTAAATTTCAAAAAAAAAAAAAACCAAAACCCAAAACCAAAGAAAACCCACCCCCCACCACAGATCTGATCTCTAGTTCTCTTTTCATAGTGGATTACAACCTGAGGTGGTCTCCAGAACAGCTCTAACAACCCTGACAATGCACAGAAATACAAGGAATATCAATAATGCTTCTTCAATCTTTTCAATTTCCCATCTCTTCTTTTTTTTTTTTTTTCTCCCACATCTGAGCTACTGCTGCTCATCTGATCTCTGTCTCCAGCACAAAGATTTCTCCTTGACTCTTACAGGGACCATTCGAGGCAGTTCAGATACCACCAACACACACAGAGACTCGCCGAGGCTCCCGTGGCTTTGATCCCCCCTGCTCGGAGGAAGGGGCATTCGCAGGTTGTGCCCACGGGACGCGCCGCCAGCCCAGTGAGGGTCACCACCTCCTGCGCGCTCACCGGCCCAGTGCCGGCCCCAGCTCCCCCTTCCCCATCGTCCCGCATGCGCTGGCTCACCCCAGCGCCTTGGTACCAAGGAGGACTCAAGGGTGGCACGTCAGTCCCACCAGTGGGTGAGGATGCTTTTGGGCACCCAGGCACCAGCGAGGCACCTTTTCACCTTCATCAACAGAATTTCTTTGTTTCCCCCACTCCCATAACGCGTTGCTTTGACGCTTTCAAGTTTCCTTGCAGAAGTTCAGCCAGGCCAGTACCATCTGAGCGCGAGGAGGCAAAGGGCAGTCTCTCCGGACATGAAGACCCACCAGCTGTGACCTTGGAGCCACCCAGCTATGAGCAGCCACACAAACAAATGGAGGTGGCCACTGACCCCAGGAGCTGTCGCTGCATGTTAAATGGAAAAGGTTTGTGGCACAAAACAAAATTAAGGGCTGCTGGCATCATTAATGCAAAGACAGAAGCAATAACAAGAAAACGACATTCTTCAGTGCTCGGGAGGTCTCCGTGAGTCAGCCGCTCGCAAACACAGCCCCCGACAGCGCCTGCATTGTCACTCCCTGCTTCCATCGTTACTGCATTTAAGAGGCACCCTCCTTTCAATTAAAATGAACTCGGTTTAAGGAGCCTTTTCAGATGATCACGAAAGAATACAGGCTGGCAGAAAAGCCTTTTTCCGCCCTTCGTGCCTGCTGCCTAGGGAACGGGCAGGAGCACTCGGAGGACATCCATTTTCTCCTGGAGACCAGCCCCAGGGACGGAGCAGCCACCATTTGCTGTTTGATCCCGACACCCTCCCTCCTCTCCCTTGAACCCAGCCTGCTCACACACCGGAGACGGAGAGAGCGGGTTCGCAGTGAACCCAAACCCAACCGGCCTCTAGTAACGTGTGGAGTGACGCCTTGACGGGCACCAGCCGACAATCCAGACCGAAACCCACACCGTCCTTACCAGAGCTGTTTGCAAGCAATTTTCTGGCCAGCAGCATCAGCACGAGCTGTCCGTCACGGAGGGATTAAGAGGCCTTTAATTATAACGTTCAATCAAGTGCCAATTATGTTTTCCACATTAGACAAATATCCCTTCAGCGCCCGAGCCCAAAACCTTAAACTCTGGAAGACAGAGCTAGAAAGGGGAGGACACTCACAGGAAGAGATTACTAATTGCGTTTCTGTAATTGGAGCAAGGGGAGTCATCTCCAGGCACTCGACTGACGGGCCTCGCGGAGAGCTGGCCGTTAGAAGCGACTGGAGCGAGACAAGCCCGAAGCACAGGCAATTGGGAACAGAAAAGTTCATGTTTTCTTGGGCTGCAGTAAAGTCTACAAAGAAAGAGCTAGATTGTTAAAAACCTGACGGGCACCCGCCATCGCTCCAGGATTATCCCCTCCACTCCTGCTCTCCGGCAGCGGGAGCACTGTCAGCCGAAGGTTTGGGGGACACGGAGCACCCACCACCCGGGGTGCCCTACAGCAGGAGCCGGCACCGCGAGCACCGCCGGGGCTGGGGGCGATGCCGTGCCTGCCCGCTGGCCCGGGGGAGCCGGGCACAGCCCCTGCTTCTGCACCGCTGTGACCTGGCCAAAGAGCCGCTCTGTTCCTCAGATGACTGGAAAGGAGAAAGCCCCGGCTGAGCGCGTTACCCGGGCTGACGTGCGAGTCAGCCGTTGGAGGCTGGTGGAGCAGTGCAGCATCTCCCAAGGGCACCTGGCGAAGAATGGGTTGCTCTGGCCATTAGAGGCAGCAGGAAAGGACAACCCAGGCCCAGGTTTGGACTTACACTCCTCTTCCCCACAGCTTTGGAATGAGCCGTTATAACCTAATGAAACGCTATCTGCGGTCAGCCTGACCTCTACACTTTCATGCTTCCACGTAACGGTTACTAAGAAGTTGCAACAATAGAACTGCTTCTGCTCACAGCTGGAGAAGCACGTACAGGAGAAACATGTACGGTGGCAGGCTGGTAACTCCTGGAATTCACATAACTTTGGCAGGTCCTTATTTACGTACACTGAATAAAAATAATTTGGCAAACTAAAAGGAAATGGGATGCCTCTGAGAGCACCACTGACAAGTTATTCTGTGAAAGCTAAAGGTTTCTCAAAGAAATTACCCAAACTGGGCTCAGACCCTTTTTGGTTCAACGAGTACATATGTTTTTGTAATATCCCACGGTCAGAGCCTTCCTTGTTAGATTAAAAATAAGCTTCTTGCCATGAAGAGCAAACCTCACTAGGAAAACTCTCCAACTCTGGCTTCTGCCCAGTGCCATCAGGATGTGAACACAAACGCCGCAGGTCTGCACAAGAAAAACAGCCACCTCACAATTTGTGTTTCTGAACTTGGAATTTATAGGAACTTTTAGTAGAAATCAATAAAAAATACCCTCCTAAACTGCTTTAGGAAGAGCTGAAAGCATTTGCGAAAAAGCAGAAACCGAAACATTAAATAGAATTCTGTAGTTGGTCGTGTTTCCACAGTAGTTTGTCCAAAATACTCCCATGATTTAATTCACGATATATGAAGTCACAAACAGTGCCAAAGGAGAACAACAGAGTGAGCCATTCTGCAAACAAGGGTGCTAAAAACAT